TAACATATTAATTCTTTATTTAGTTTCGCTTGTGAACAAAGCTTTTGCTTTACCTCTTCACCTGTCTTGAGTTTTCTCAGTTTTACTGTCCCAGTTCTCTCCCTCAGACCACCGGGCAGGGAGAGGTTGAGTAACTCACTCAGCCTACTGGGGTGAAACCACAACAACGACACAAGGCAACTACAGCCTTTGATCCATGAGGTGTCCATAACCCCAGCCATCAAGCTGGGGATTGCTGCAAGATTTAGTAATCACAATACCCCAGAATTAATGCCTGTGTAGCCAAATACACATTTAGAGGAACCTGGGGTGACGTTATTTTTTGTGATTACCCAAAAATGGTCCCTATAGCAACCCTACCTTCAAATCATAGGTCAATTCTAAATTGCAGCAACAGAATAAACCTAAGGCTCATCCAAATCCATAAGTAACTGTAATTTAGTTGAAAACTCAGTCCTTTACAGTACTGTACTCTTGGGGTTTTCGCAGCCTTAACTCGTAGGTGAATCCCAACTCAACTCCTGCGGTGGCCATAACCATGATCCCAATGCTACCCCTAAATTTTTTTCCTGGAGCAACTTTTGTCTTCAGGCCTTTGGATATCGATTGCATGCACTTGCCCCAGCCTCCAGGGCTACTGAAATAGGTACTGGCATCCTCCAGGAATTGTCTTTGGCTTTGAGCCCACTTCTTATTGGCTTATCACTGTGAGGGCCTCCCACACTTCCCAGAAGTGCTTGGCTAGCCAGTTGGTCCTCCTCCTGGAAGGAGGGATAAAAGGCTGGCATTAAGAGCAGTCCTGACAGACAGACAGACAAATCAAGTTGTGTTGGCACTTCCTTGCTGTGGACGGCATTATGAGGGAGTCGATGCTCTTTTCTGGCTTTCTTCTTGTCCTCCTTGGCCTGGCTCTGCCAGGCACCCAGGGAAAAATCTTCTCCCGATGTGACTTGGTGAAGACCCTACATGAGCACAGCTTTGCGGGCTTTATGGGCAAAACTGTAGCTGACTGTGAGAGCTCCCACTGCACCTCTGTGCCTGTACCACCCTTGTCCCTCTCAGCTTCTTTGTAATCTTCCACTATTCTGTTCCTCCATTACTTTGACTTAAGCTCTCTCTTCCTCATCCTTTTCCTTGCCCCCTTCTATTGCTTACACAACAAATACCTATACAGAGCTTTATTCTTCCAAGTATTTATCCATCCATTTCTCAGACTTACGATATCACCACTTTAACGACGTCTCCAGCTCTTCATTCATCTTTGATCACTTCATCTCTCTTTCTGCTTATTTACCCTGAGCATACCTGAGCATACTTGTCTGGGCTCTCTTCCTTCTGCAGGGATCTGCCTGGTGCAACACGAGAGCAATTTTAATACTAAAGCATTTCATGACAACGGTGCGAGTCGGGACTACGGGATCTTTCAGATCAACAGCCAGTACTGGTGTGAGGATGGCAAGACCCGTGGATCCAAGAACGCCTGCCATACCAGTTGTTCAAGTAAGTGGTGGGAGAGAACAAAGAGCCCTTCTTTGTCCACACTATGAATGCACCCTGAGCTGACTGGGACATCAGGTACAGGCAGGTGCCAAGCAGGTGCTCAGTATCCTCACCTGCTCTTCTTGATGAACACGTTTCCCTCTGCCCTTCTGTCCCTGCACTCCCCTCTCCTTCTCTTTCCTCCATATTGACCTTTTCTCCCTTGTCTTCAGAATTTCAAGACGATAATATCGAGGATGATATGCAGTGTGCCAAGAAGATTTCTCAAGAGGCTCATGGTCTCACTCCCTGGTAAGGATACCTGCAGTGGGCACTGAAGAAGGGTGAGCAGAGACAGAAAAAGTCCTGTCATTGACTGGGTGGGTGGAAGCAACGTGTGAGAAGCTGTATTTGGTAAAGTTTGGCACAGAAAGGAGAACTGAGGAGTCCTGGCTCCCAGCATCTGCTCTAACTCCCTAGATTCCCCTCCCAGTGCTGTGCCTTTTGTTTCCTTTCCCCAGCTACCTTGATTGAGCTTAACGGAATTTTCATTCATTCATATCTTTCACGCCCAGTTTTCTTTACCCATCTCTCAAAGACTAACCAAGTTTGGTTTTATAACCAATTCAAACATTATTTAACTCCTCAAATTATATCATGTATTTCTTTTTTAGGTATGGCTGGGAAAACCATTGCAAGGGGAAAAACCTGAGTCCCTACGTCGAGGGTTGCTGAGTCACTCCACAAGCAGCAACTCTTGGCATCACCAGTGGTGAAGCATGAGCATGCATGGAGCGGAGCTTAGGGCAAGTGGGTGGGTGTGGGGAATTAAAAGCAGCTTATTATTAATGCAGAAAGGATGGTGGCTATATTTAGCGCTACGAGGGCTTCGCACTACTGCAACGCAAGTGAAGAACTTAAAGGCTGATGGCTTAGCAGAAGCAAAGCTCAGCAGAAGTGCACTACAGGTAGAGTTTCAGCCATTTACTTCCATTTACTGTCTCAAGATTTTGTTGTCCTGATCAAAGTTTAGGGTTTCTCTCTTTGTTTCTCTCTTCTCCTTCATCCCTCCCTTCCTCCCATCTTCCTTCTGTCTGTGCCTTACCTTCTTTCATCCTTCTGTTCTTTCTTATCTGAGTGTAAAAAACCATGAAAATTTACGCATGCTGTATTAGTTCTAATACTTGAAAAATTGCAGTTGCCTTATAACGAGGACACGGTTGCTGGCTGCAGTGGGCAGTATGGTGGGCTAACAGGAAGAGACAGCTATACTGAAATATGACTTGCTTCTTAAATCTATCGGAGTATCGGCTCCTGGCTGGTGTGAGAGATAGGGCACTGGAAGGTACCGATGTCTGGCCTGGCTGAATATGCTCTTTCTTCCCGTCCTTTGAGGCATTAGGTCAAAGACAGTCTAGGAAGGGTGCAAGCAACATCTCTGTGAGGAAGTAGAGGGTTGGAAAGCCAATTAGGAAAGGGAAATGTTTTGCCATTTAGGTCATGGATCCTTTCTCCAAACGAAGGCTGAATCCAGAAGTGGTGCACAAACACCAAAACCATCTTTGCTGCTGCTTACACTGTTCTGCTGCTTGGCGAGCAGCGATTGCTTTTGTGTTTATGCAATAAAGGGATGCTTTAGCTCTTCTCTTATGTGACTGTATAAACCAACTATGAAAGGCACGTTTGTTCAGATGTTCGAACCTAAAAAAAAGAAAAAAGATTTTAAAAAAAGCTCAAAGTAACCTTGCCAGAAGACCCTCTTCCCAGCTATGGGACAGATGGTGCCTCTTTCCCCTCCCACGACCCAGCCAGGAGACTTCATTTTCCCATTAAGTAACTCAAGGCAGAGCTATTTTACATGCCGGCATGCACAAGGCTTTTGAGAAAACTCCACACAACTTGAGTCAAAGCCTTACCTGGATATTGTCTTCACTGCAGGTACTTCCCATCTATTTGGGGATTTGAACAAACCTTACCTGGGCCTTTGCCTTGTGGGTTCAGCCCTGGCAGCTGGATGCTTCCTGTGTACCTCAAACTCCAGAGCACGCGTGCATCCCGAGGGGCACAACGAGAGCAGGAGGCCTGAGAGCCAACTCTGCAAACACAGCGCGTCCCTG